GAAATAAAAGAATACACTGGCCCAAGAACTCTGGCTCTTAGGAGCCAAAGATACTTATTGCAAAATCCATTAGTCCTCCCTTTTAATCTACAAGTCTATAAACTTGAATGTTTACAGGTGCTTCCTCTTGAGTCTTTTTTTAGGATGAGCTATGGGTTCAAAGGAAACACCTGCACAGTTTAGCTTAATATGATACACTCTTTAAACTACATGGAGAAGTGGAGTTGTAAACGTCAGGTTTGATCTACAGGTTATTACTTAAAGACGTAGCTAAATAAATATTTTTCAATTAAGAAAGATTATTGCATATGCAGAACCTACCAGAATAAAACTTAAAGGCCTCTTTATCAGTGCTTTGACAAACATAAGATAAGCAAACCTACTGCCAAACAATTTTCAACTCCTTCCACAGGAATCTACTTTCCCTCTGGAAACCTACAGATCTCCAAGACAAGAGATTTCATAACTATGCCATACATTATTACTAGAACCTCAGTAATTTCTATTTAAATCTTCATAAACTAATGATAATTTGTCCATCTAAAACCAAGAAAACTTATCCACAGCACTACCAGAAAGAACATGACTTAAAACACACACAAAGGCCCTTCCCAGGCTAAGAACAGATGAACTGCCAACACCTACTCGCAGCCCTTCAGTTATAGCAAGATTCGGGACAGGTAAAGCAGGTAGCTGGAGTGTTACCATTCACAAGAAGAATCTAAATCAGTAGATGCAGGACAGAAAGCAATCTTGGCTTACTCATGGGTTCCCAAATGGATAACAGAGGTTTTTGTCATGGCTAAATCGTGAAGACGTGCAACATATTCAACAGGCTTTATTGCCACCTCTTGGCCATTACCAAATCTCGCAAAAATAACAACAAAATCATCTGTCAGCTCCCTTACTGAAATAATCTTTCTTCAGGGGAAAAGAGATAGCAAGGGAACAGATGGAGTGGAAACAGAGAACAAGCAGAATACTGTTTGCAGACAAGTATAACTATTTAGGGCTGTAAAACTACAGTGACTACTGCAGTTGACTTTCATTGAAGTTTTACTGTGTCATCTGGAGAATCAAAAGGACTGGAAAGCAAAGTACCAGTTACTTTCAAGACAAAAACCAGGATTTTGTTTTATTTGTTTAAAAAAGCTAAAATGGGTGTCAAGACACCTGTTTCTTCATGAAGTCAAAAGATGAATAGATTAGCATTACCCACACATGAAAGAGAGTAACACTAATGAAAGGCCCATTTTCCCTTCATTATTAAACTAGTAGTAAGAACCCAGATTAGTAGACTGCTGAAGAGTACAGAGCACCACAGAAAGTTGGTTTCTCTCGGTTAATTGTTTGTTGCACACAATATTGAAGGAAACAAACAAGAGGAAGACATTTCCATGAACCAGCTAAGAAAGTTATCTAGACAACAGAGCTTGAAAGGTTTGATAGCCAGATATCTCTTAAGTAGAAGTAACACAAAAGGCTTGGAAAGAGAAGGGAAACCATAGGAAATGTCTTTACACACAAGCTCATTTCTGCTGTCATCAAACAATGGAACTTTTTAAGACCTACCACAGAACACTTGGAAATGTGTAAGGGTTATTTGGGGTTTGTTGCACTGAATACATTCTGAAGCCCAGAGAGGAGGGGAAAAAGTGCTTTCTACCTCTGATGCTTTCCAGCCTCATGAATGTAAGATATAAGGCAAGGAAAGAGTTGTTCCAATACTCTCTGTCTCCAGCAAGCTACTCAAGGGTAGAAAGCAGATGACCAGAGAAGAAAAGATTTCCTCCTCAGAGTGCATTTTTAGTTTTTGCCTCTAATATAGCCCCTAATTCTGTCTCTAATGTTGCTAATGGCTTTTCTTAACATAAACCAGTGTGAAACCAACCCACTTGTGACATTATCAATACCTAGAGCACTCTGTGTAGAAGCCATGGAATCGAGGAGCATTTATTAATATGTTGCTTGCGAAAGACAAAAGCAGTTGCAGCAGACATAAGGATCCTCCATCAGATCCAGGGAAATAATCTAAAATAAACTAAGGCAAAGTCATACTCTCAAGGGTTTCATGTCTCTACATGAATATTTAGTCTTTAAGCAAGGTGACAATAAAGGTCCTCAACTGCCTCCGTAAGCTTACAGAAGAACTTTTAAGACTTTTCTGTGTTCTGGAATAATAATGAACTGACAAAAAAAAAAAAAAAGCCCTAAAGATGTTAGCAGAGCTCTGACTTCTGTTATTCTGTTAATAAAATCATTCAGTGTAATAACACAAAATGCAAGACTGAGTTTGTGCTAATATTTATTTCATACCATCTGTCACTAGAGTCTAAGCAGAGTCTAATGATGTAGTTAAAAAATAGTTTGATAGGATTTGGAGACTAAATGACCAATCAACATTTATAAAAATCCATCTGCAAGAGAACACAGAAAAGAAGAAACACCAAACAGTCATGCCCAGCGCCCATCACTCCACCACTTTGTAAGGTAAGATCCAAAAAATGTCAAAAGTAGGCTGTTCTGAGTGTGTATATTAACAGTGTGGTAGCAGGTTAATCATTATGTACTTTGTGATCAATAGTTTTTTCCAGTTTTAAAGAGGACCAACTGCACTAGTCTCTCAGGCAATTTCATCAGCCTAAGATGGTCTAAACATGGTAAATCAGTTCAACAAATACAATTTGTTTTCCTGCCTGTATGCCTAATACTGAGGAAGAAGTTCTAGCTCAGTCATTTCTACATGCCCATATTTCCAATAAAAGGATATCTAGGACCTTGCACCTAGTTAAGTTAAAGCTGCAACAGCTTATGGAGTTTCTAGCAATTTAAATAGACATCTAAGGGTGCAAAGAAACTATTTTTTGAGAATGACTGGTGACCACTGATTTGTAAACATAGATATTCAACTTCCAGTGTATGCTTTTATTCCTATGGTTAAGTGGTATCATAGCAGTACCTCCTGCAACTAATGTCAAGCAAACACAGAACCTTCACACAAGCACTCGTTTAGCCTGCTTATTAAAAGACCCTTTCCTCTAAGAAGTCACCAATTGTGCAAGCCTGTTGGAAGAAACTGCACACAGACTTCAGTTTGTGGCATGGGGCTTGCTTTCTTACACAACTTCTGTCCTAAGCTTTAATGTCTGTAGTATTCTGAGTTCACAAACAATTTTGAATAATTCTCTGGGTGGGAGAAGAACACACAAAGAGATGGCAACAGAAAGGCAGAAATATTTATATTTGAAAGACTGAGCTGTCATCTTTGTGAAAGAACCAAAGGCTCTCTGATCAACTGCCCACACTCAGTGATTACTACAGAAAAGCCAGGAAATAGGAAAAGGGACTCACACACCACACACTGAAAAACTGACTTTGCCACAAGAAAGCCATCATGGTCCTCTGGGTGCCAAGAAAAACATTGGTACTCCTTGACATTTTAGCTTGCAAAACACATACAGAAAAGCAGAACAATTAAGGGCAAGATGGAGTGTAAAAAGACACAGTCAATGGGTTCACCATTACCTTCCCAGAGAAATATTCTGCTGTACCTCAAGCCCTACAATTTTATTTGAACAGAGCATTTCTCAAGCTTTCAGAGAAACCTACTAAATCCACAGAGGGTGAGATTAAGCTCCCAGCTGATCAAGTCACAAGGTCAGCAGGGAGTCTGAATTTCCACCTCAAAGAATGAAGAAAAGCAATAGATACCCAACACCTGCACAAACCTCAAATAAAAAGAACAGCTGAAATACCTTGACATCTCAGATAATGCTGAAGATCTGTTGCTCTGGGGACTTTACCCAGCGAACTATAGCAAAGGATTACTGCAGAACAAGGAAAAGAAAGCACAGGCTCCTTGCAGCTACACAGCACCTGCACAGCAGCTCACCATGTCCCTACCTACAGTAACCAAGACTAGAGGACAGCCAAGCTACCACCAACTTGCATACTGAAAACACCCACACCCTTGCTGTTTCAAAATTAGAGAGAAGGAAGTGCCCCCAACCCCCAAATCATGGCTTGTCAATAATTTGTCAAAATGAATTATTTTAATAATAGCTAATAATTTCTTATAGATTTGATGATCTCACCCTTTCCTAGCATTCCAAAATTAGCCAATTTTTTCCTGGAACCTAAGTATATTTGGACTGCTCCATATCTGTCCAATAGCTTTTTGTTCCTGAGCATCACCACTCACTCACTTTTCTCCATTAAAGATTTGTTTTATCCCATCAGTTACCTTGTAATTCAGGGGCATAATATTCCCTTTCTTCCATATCACATGGGCTGCAGAAGAAAGGCGTGGAATACAGTGACAGTGTCCAGGCAATTTCTACATGAGCTCTACCTGATAATACCAATATTAAATAATAATACTGATATTGGAATGTGCTGTTCAGGGAGGTGGTGGAATCAATGCCTCTGGAGGTGTTTAAAGAAAGACAGGACACAGCACTTAGTACCATGGTCTACTTGACATGACAGTGTTTGGTCACAGGTTGGACTCAAAAATCTCAGAGATCTTTTACAACCTAATTGATTCTATGATTCCACGAAATATTTATTTTATTTGGGAGTTTAAAGTAAAAAAAAACAAAACAAAACAAAAAAAAAAAAACAAACAAAAAAATAAAAAAAACAAAACCCAGCAGAATCCTTTAATTTCTTATTGCATACACAGCCTTTAGAGGGAAAAAAGACAAAAAAAAAAAAAAAAAAACCCAAACAAAAAAACCTCCCCCCAAAACAA